CTTCGACCTTTTGGAAACCCCTATGGTCTCCAGAGGACTTTTCACGCATTCCAAAGATTCCAAGTATTCCATGAGAGGAAACAAAGTGTGGCATTTCGAATATTGTAGATCATGATGACTTCTATTAGATTCCGAGGATTCGAAAAGTTCGTGAAGGGGGATCCCGTGCAACTTTGGACCTCCTGAAACCCATATGGTCCCCAGACGACGTTTCACACTTTCCCGAGGATTCCAAGGATTCCATGAAAGGAAACAAAGTATGGCAGTTCGAATATTGTAGATCATGAAGACTTGTAGTGGATTCCAAGGATACCAGAAGATCATGAAGTGGGATCTCATGCAAGTTTGGACCGCCTGAAAACCCCCATGGTGTGCATTGGACTTCTGACGCATTACCAAGGATTCCAAGTATTCGATCAGAGGAAACAAAATATGGCATTTCGAATATTGTAGATCATGATGACTTCTGTTAGATTCGAAGGATTCCGAAAGATCGTGAAGCGGGAACCCATGGAACTGTGGACCACCTTAAAACCCTCTGATCTCCGTTGACGTTTTGACGCATTACGAAGGATTCGAAGAGAGGAAACAATGTCTGGCATTTCGAATATTGTAGATCGTGATGAATTCTATGGGAGCGGAATGATTTCAAAAGATGTTTAAATGGGAATCCGTATAGCTGTGGAGCCTCCAAAAAGCTTTTTGGTGACTATCGGTTGTTCAGGGGATACTGAGAATTCCAAGGATTCCATGATATATAATAATGTCTGGTATTTCGAATATTGGAGATCATGATGAAGTCTGTGTGATTCCGAGGATCGTAGAGGATCCTGAAGTGGGAATCCATGCAACTCTGGACGTCCTTGAGACGCATGTTGGACATTACGGGACCGTGAGAGGTTATCACAGATACCAAGGATTTCATGATATAAAGTAGGTAATGTTCATCAACATTGAATGTCGATTCACTGGATCCTAGTGTGAGGAATGATGACAAGTATGTCCTTATATTTTTAAATAAAAATGAACTGTGTATAATGATGTGTTTACGAGAAATTATTTATCTTTGTAATATATTCTATATTACATACTATAGATATATACAGCAGAGATTGGGATCAATTCGGTTTTGGAACCGACCGGCCATAATCGAAATGGATTCGGTTGGAGATTTTGGAAAAACTTCGGTCGGTTGCGTTCAGTTCGGTTAGAAATTTTAAAATATTCGGTGGGTTAGTTTGGGTTCGGTTAGGGAGAATCGACATAATCGTTTGATTTGAGTTCAATGGACTTTTTCAGTGAAACATAAGAAGAAAAAATACTATAATCGTACAAGAATTAGCTGTTGCCCGTAGCGCGGATTATCTCACAAATTGTTTTAAATTTGTCTTGGGAGGTAAGGAAGTTACAATAGAGGAAGATGGTCCAATAAATAAGCCTTATTCTTGCTTTCTCTAAAAGTTCATTATTGGTAGTTGCTATTGTTTGATTGGATGTTGCTAATTTATAAAGCACTAATACCCTAATTAACAAAAGCTAAACTTTGCTTTTTCGAAGGTAGGTTCGGTTACGAAATATTTGAGATTCAGTCGGTTCGATTGAAAATTTTTTAATATTCGGTCTGTTACTTTCGGTTCGGGTAGAAATTTTTTCGGTTACGGTCAGTTCGGTTAGAAATTTTAAAAAATTCGGTCGGTTACAGTTGGTTCGGTTAGAGATTTTTTTCGGTTACGGCAGATTCGGTTTGCCAAAAATGCGAACCGATCCCATCTCTGATATACAAATAGTTCAGATAAAATAGTGAAAGATGCTAATGTATTTGATGAAGTTTATGCTTTAGTTAATTATAACGACTAAAAATTGTGATCTATGCCAAAGTAATGGCCATTTCTAATACGAGCATGGCCAGTTGTGACACAGACATGCTGATTTGAGCCATAAGAGTTGTCAACTGTGCCTTAAAAACGGTTGTTTGTGGCGAGGAAATTCTGATTTGAGCCATAGAAACTGTCATCTGTCGAATGAAAATGGCCAATTGTGTCAAATAAATGGTCGCCTGCACCACCAAAGTGATACTTGTGTACCATGAAAATGGTCACTTATACCACAAAAATGGTCATTTTTACACAGTGTTGCAGACAGACAGACACAGGTGAATTTCCGTTTTTAGACCCTAGCCTTTCAGTCTAGGGAACAATGTCTGGTATTGCGAATATTGTAGATCATGATGAATTCTATCAGATTACATGGATTCCGAAAGATTCTGAAGTGGGAACCCATGCAACGCTGGACCTCTTTGAAACTCCTTTTGGGCACGATAGGACTTTGAGAGGATACCAAGGATTCTATGATATAGAAAAATGTCTGATATTTCGAATAGTGTAGATCATGATGAATTCTATCAGATTCGTAGAAGGCTAGAAGATCCTGAAGTGGAAACCCATGCTAATCTAGACCTTCATAAGACCCCTATGGTCACCATAGGGCTTTTGGTGGATAGGAAGGAATCCACGGAGTCGATGGAATGAAACAATGTCTGACATGCAGAATATTGTAGATTATGATGAATTTTAGCAGATTCCAAGGATTGCAAAAGATGCTGAAGATGGAAACGTTGTAAATTGTGGTATCCTGGCAAGTTTCTTTGGTGACTATGAAGATGTTGGAGGATACCACATATTCGAATCGTGGGATGACAGGAAAGAATATGGTGTAAGGGGAATATGATGGGTCATGATGGATTGTTTCAGGTTGCTGTGATTCCAAAGGAATTCGAAGTGGCAACCTGTTCAAATCGTGATGTCCTGGCAGCGGCTGTTGTTAGTATAAGTCTTTGATAGCTTATGAAAGATTGTAAGTGATCAAGAAATATATGATATTCAGAGCCTTGTGGTTCATGATGGATTATATATGATTCCAAGGATGCTAAATGCGCAAGAAGTGTGAAACGGCACAGAAGAGTATGTTCTGAAAACCTCCGTTGTGTACACAATGGTTCTCAGCAGCAACAAAGGTATCCATGGATTTCATGCCAGTAGAAATTTGTCGGCCTGAGAATGTTGCAGTCCATGAGGGAATGTATCACTTTATACGATGTCCAGAACATCGAGAAGCTAAACGACATGAAAATTGCTAGCCGTCGAATATCCCGGCTATTGGGTGTGGCAGTATTATAGATATCAAAGGGTTCCGATGATCGGATGGCTTTGGGTAGTGGCTTTTATGAAGAATGGTCAGGTGCATTTTGGATTCTATGATATGTCAAGTACTTCAGGCAGAGATGGAGATATTCTTATTTTCTTCATAGGTTGCTGGCACTTGATAGCCTATGAAGCTTTTTATGGTCGTGTGTCTTTGTTTGATTTTCGTCGATCTGGTCTGCCTGCTTGATGAGTTGGGTCTTTCCTTTTTGTGTACCAATAATTGGATAATAATTGAGTGGAAGCGGAAAACTGTCTTTGTAAGAAGAGAGAACAGTGTTTTGATATCAAAATAACATGACGAAATAAAACATCTATTCATTCATTGAGGTATACAAGTATTGAGGGGAGAGAAGCAGAAGCTTTCAACGTTGAGGAAAAGCTGCTTTTCAATTTTAATCGTCTTACATAATGTTATGAAGAAATGGACGATGACTTTTTAGTCGGAACGCATAAGAAACTATAAATATGTAATACTACCTAAATGTTTGATGTAAAACTTTCGGAACAACCATTTAACAAGTGTGATCCTTAATCTACAGAAACATATAAATAAACTAAATAAATGAATGGACAATGAACAATTGAATGACAATTTATTGTTACTCCTGATTGCGCTGAGTCAAACTGATACAAAAGTCATTTCTTACATTCCAGAGCAAGAATTCTCGATACTGAATTTTGAAATTTGCACTTTCTACTCAAGAAATGAAGTTGTTTTCATTGAAAATGCAGAAAACGCACGACAGGTAGGCCCAATGGCCTGTTTGACCCTCTGATTTCAAAAGATCTCGAGCTGGAAGATGAATGAAATCATGTTCTTTCAGAAACTTGTTATAGAGATTATAGAACTATTATCGCACAGCAGCGAACTTAACGATACCCTAAGAAGATACTATATTGGTTTTCAGAATATGGACCCTGATGATGGATTCTATGAGATTCGAAGGATTTCAAAAGATGTCTTACTGGGTAGTCAAGAAAATTGTGTTCTCTAGAAACCCTTTATAGAGAGTAAAGGACTTTATTTGCGCGTTCACGATTTTAAGGATTTCACGACATGAAAAAATGTCTGATATCAAGGTTAATATTTTCGACGGTGGACTAGATCAGATTTGAAGAATTGTAGAAGATGTCGAACTCAGAAATCATGCAAATCGAGATATTCATAGGTTTTTGTAGAGATTCTATGATACTCTAGGACAAGGGGGGAAAAGCTCATTGCAATCAAAATAATCATTGTCAATCAACAGTAACTATTAATAATTGTTCAGAATAAAGTGATTTTTATTGAAAACAATAACGCTAATTGTCATTCACTCTACATAATAGTTGCCAGTGCAGGAAGAATTATATCGTTGTATATTCTATAAATCCAGGACAGCCTTGATGAATAATAGACAGTCGATATGCAGTCTGAGTCGATATTTTTCTTTTTTCTTGTCGTATGTACATGCGTTCGTGTGACACAAGACAGAACGAAAAAAAAACAAATATCTGTTTCTCTTATTGTTATCATCTCATATCCATCTGTTCACATAAACTCACAGACGTACGCTTCATTAGTCTTAATTCTGCTGTTTTTAATATACCTATTTCGAAATATTGATATATGGATAAAAAGAGTACTTCCTTCAAATAATATGAATCTACGAGATGACGCATTTTATGATTTTATTCGTCAAATTTCTGGAAAGCAAGTGGCAAAGCTGCTTGCCTTTCAAAATTTCAATGGAGTTGACTCATTTATTGGATGTAAAGAATGTACTGATGTAATTCGTCTTGAATCTGATCAATTAAATGATCTTACAAAAAAAAATATACATTACATTACGTGACGGATCCGTTGCTCTTCTACCAGCTCTTGAATCATCGATTAGTAATCTCATCAAACTCGTTAAAAGAGCTCCGAGCACCACTTCGTCCAATCTAGCAAAAACAACTGTACCGATATGCTATTCGACAATTCATACACCGTCACCATCAGATATTTCAATGTTTGCTAATTCATCTAACCCGTCATCACTTTATATTTCAACTGCATCTAATCCTCTTATAGATCAGATGTCAAATAGAATTTCAACAACTATTATCGATTGGCTCAAGAAAAACCAACAAGAACTAAATTTAATGAATACGAATTTTCAACAAGGCATCGATTTTCTTGTTGAATTAAATAAACAACGAGATGGAATTATCTTAGTTGGTGTAAATGTGGCACGAAAAATGCTATTACATAAAAACGAGGAATTCTTAGAGTAAGAGATTGAATAATTTAATCTTTAAATTTTGTGTACTAAAAAAAGATCATTTGATTTAGTTTTCGAATATCTATCGACATTTCAATTCCGGCAAATGTTCATTGATCATCGGAAAAAAAACAAAATTCAGGCGACGATCACAACACCGATGATGATCAAGAAAAAGATAGTCAAGCAGAGTTAACTATGACAACTCCATGTCAATCAAATCGAATTCCATTATATCTAAATCTTCAAAAGTGAATAATCGTACTCGTTCTGCTTCAAATGTATCTAAGAGACAAAGACAGCGATTTAATTAGATACTTGTGTCTCTAATCAGTACTTCTTATTTATTTAGTTTTAATCCTAACTTTTTTATTTGCATTGTGAATTAATCTTTATTTGTTTTGACTCATTATTACTCTAAGTGATTATATGGATTATATCTTTTCGACTGTTTTGTTGTTGATGTATTTTTAGACATTCAGACAAATGATTTTCGATTAGATTCTAACCTTCGTTTATAAAAGATAGGCATCTCATTTTGATCAATAAACTATTTTTAATTACTTGACTCGCTTGAATCCATTACTTGATGTTTCAGATGAATATATTAGAATTGTATTTCTCAAATCTTCAAGTTTACTGTCAAAAGAAATCATTAATGTCTATCCCGTTACAAACTAGCATCTTCGAACTTCAAGATGAAGCTTTTTTTCAAGTAGTAAAAGAACAATATAGTGTAACAATGGTTGAAATCTTACGTTTTCTCGAAGTGAACTCGGCG